CAGATTATTGTAAGTGCCTTAAAAATCGTGGCGACCGTTACGAGGACATATATATATATTTACTTTCTTTTATACAACGTGCTTTATTTTCGGAAACGTTCTCTACTCTCTAACCAGATGTCCTCTCTAACCACCTCTAATCCCTTCCCTTTGCTAGGGACAAGATGGCTTCCTTCCGTCTTGCTACCGTGTGGTAGCTTGCGAGGGCGCTGGTGTTGCGCGGTGTGTTCGTGGACGGTCTGTCGAGGCGCGAACTTTAACGTGTGCTTAGCGCACGGCAACAACGGCATGACTCGTGGCAGTGGTCGCCACAAATCTGTATACTATCGTTTAACGTCATCTTTCGAACGACGCCTGTCAAAATTTCAGACAGATTTATCGAGTAGTTTTGTTTTGATAGCTGTTGAAAGTGGGCAAGTTTGTGTTTGTTTGCAACCATGGAAAAAGAGCATTATCGGTCAGTGATTCGAATCCTTTTTTCGGATGGGAAGACGTGTGAGGAAATCAAAGTGAAGTTGCATGCCGTTTATAAGGACCATGCACTTTCGATGACTACCATCAGATATTGGTTCAATGAATTCAAGCGTGGCCGAACATCCGTTTTTGATGAAGAGCGCAGAGTTCGACAAATCATATTTTTTGGATGGCTTAAAAAAGTTGGAATATCGCTGAACTACGTGTATCGAGCTGAAAGGAGACTATGTTGAGAAATAGATTTAAAAAATTAAAAAAAAGATGCGTTTCCTTCCCTAACACGGGTACTTATCATACAGCACATCCGTTTTTGATGAAGAGCGCAGAGTTCGACAAATCATATTTTTTGGATGGCTTAAAAAAGTTGGAATATCGCTGGACTAAGTGTATCGAGCTGAAAGGAGACTATGTTGAGAAATAGATAAAAAAATTTTTTTTTAAATGCGTTTTCTTCCTTAACACGAATACTTATCATACAGCCCTTGTATATATGACTGTGTGTGTGTATTGAAGATATTATATACACTGTACGTCGAAATGAGCTTTCCATATGCGGTTGTACAATTTCCGAAAGAAGGGATATACTCCGAAATTCCGACCTCGTGGCTTACAAAAGATTTTACTCAATGTAAATGGCCAACAACTAAAAATGCTTCCTTCTTTCTTAAAAAAAACAGTCCACCAGAGGCAGACTGGTTACTTTTTAATGTCAAAGTAGAATGCTACTGTGGTAAGTATGCGTAAAAGTGACAATTATTCTAAATATGAATTATGCAATATTAATATAGTATTTCATATTTACAGACACTTTCGAAAACGCACGGAAAAAAGCAGAAGATGCTAATTATGCAACTTCTTGTGACGATAGCAGAGGACGTGGCAAAAAAGTTGTACACGATAAACAGTTCGACGATACATATGAGATTTGCGATGACAGTGTGGATGACGATTACGGTAACTAAATTTTATTACATTATATTTGTATTGCACTAGAAAAGTTTTCCTTTCAAAAATTATATTTTTTATTTATTTTAATGTTATATCAACGATTTAGTGTGAAACTAACTATTTACGCTTTACTAACTTTTATTACATTTTATAGATTCACCTCCGCAGTTATGTAAGACTGCACACAAGAAGTTAAGAATAGATAAAGATCGGGATTCATCCGGAAAAAATCTTTGCGTGACAAACAATTCTCGCATAAAAAGCATTCCTCGTGTGAAAAAATCTCACAAATTGCCGCCGAAAAAAGCTTCTCTACGCCAAATCGTTTATTGTACATCACAAACACGGGAAGTTGATCCACTACAAGCGGGTGAACTTAATGATATTAATGAACCATTGGCATATAAACCTAAGGAAATTAATGTACAAAGTAAGAGTTCAAAATTATTTTATTTTTGATGTTATCTTTGATAAATTGATATGTAACATAAAATGTCTACAATTGATACGATAACTTTTTTTTAGATCTTGATTTTATTCTAACTTCTCAATTAGTTACAGTTGGCAACATTGATGATAAGTACCTTATTTTACATTTACTATTATTGTGTCATTATATACGTTATAAATACATGATACTTTAAGTTACTGTATCCTGCTATATCCTGATCAGAAGTAATATATAGTAAGAGAAAATTTATAGGTTGTTTCAATTTATTCTGTTTCAGAAAAGGTGATTCCAATTTGTGTGGAGATATTAAAGTATGTAAAGAGCATTCACAAAAGGCTGAAAACTTTGGGAAGAGGCATTATTAATGCGGAAGAACTTAATATGAATATATTCGATGACATACTTCCGATCAATTCTATACAGAACCTTAAAAAGTTTGAGGAAAACATGGAAAATGTTGAAACGAAAGCGAATTTTGTAAGTAAACTTTTGTATATAAATAATATTTATCATAAGAGTAGTAATATGTTGAATTACATTTAATTTATTATTTATCTAATTACGTATAAATGAGTTTATAGTCTCGTAAATTGCTTTCAAGGTCGAATTTATGAACCATATTGGTGGAAAAGTGGCAAAAATTTGGTGCAACGGTGTATGAGCCGTTTATTTACAAATGAATTCGGCATATCTTGTTCTTGGTGTGGTCGCGGGAATAATTATCGCATGTGCGATTTGAAATGCATCTGCATCCTAAAAGGTGAGCTATTTCAACAAGTTGCATATTTTTATTCTTTGCCTAATCTGGTAAGCATTTTATTTAATATTAACAATACTATTGAATGTTTTAGGTATTTTAAGAGCCAGGGTGTCGACGAATGCGACTTCGAAATTGTAGCAAGCGAATGGTTCCGCCTTAGCAAGCTGCGATATAACCGAGAAAGTAAAAAGATATTACTAAAATTAAAATTCAAGATAAAGGCAATCAGAGCCAAGCGCGGTAAGTGGAGCGCAACAAGCTTTATTCAGTGATCAATCTTTATAATAGAGTATACAAAAACCGGACGTTTCGGCTCCTTTTTTGGGCTATCTTCAGCGCAAAACAATTAAAATTAGCTTATGACATAACGGTCGTGTGTTCTGATTCGGATTGTAAACATGGTCGCAAATAGAATTAATAAATAAGGGTTAACAATCGTGTGTTCTTGGTCGATATAATAAAAATAAAAATATGGTCGCAAATAAAATAGATAGAAATTAATTAATTAACTAAAAAAAGAAAAAATTAATAAATAATAAAAAATTAAAAAAATTAAAAGCGGAGATCTCTCACATCATTATAGTGTTTCAGACTATGCATTATCTGTATATCGATATCAATCCGAGGATGAATAATTCCTTGATTGTTTGGTCGGAAATTAAAATCCCAATTAACTGTCATTTCGATATGTATAAAAATGTGTCTGCAAATGAAGTGAGACGGATTATGTGAGAGAACGATGTGAGAGAGTGAAAATAAAACTTTAAATGACAAATGTAACTTACGAAAGAGAATCAAACGTTCCATACACAAAGATGATTAAAAGTATGACAAGCGTGTGTGGATTAGGAGACCGAGCTCCCCGGCTTTTAACACAATACTGACATAAAACGTAAGGCAATCAGAGCCAAGCGCGGTAAGTGGAGCGCAACAAGCTTTATTCAGTGATCAATCTTTATAATAGAGTATACAAAAACCGGACGTTTCGGCTCCTTTTTTGGGCTATCTTCAGCGCAAAACAATTAAAATTAGCTTATGACATAACGGTCGTGTGTTCTGATTCGGATTGTAAACATGGTCGCAAATAGAATTAATAAATAAGGGTTAACAATCGTGTGTTCTTGGTCGATATAATAAAAATAAAAATATGGTCGCAAATAAAATAGATAGAAATTAATTAATTAACTAAAAAAAGAAAAAATTAATAAATAATAAAAAATTAAAAAAATTAAAAGCGGAGATCTCTCACATCATTATAGTGTTTCAGACTATGCATTATCTGTATATCGATATCAATCCGAGGATGAATAATTCCTTGATTGTTTGGTCGGAAATTAAAATCCCAATTAACTGTCATTTCGATATGTATAAAAATGTGTCTGCAAATGAAGTGAGACGGATTATGTGAGAGAACGATGTGAGAGAGTGAAAATAAAACTTTAAATGACAAATGTAACTTACGAAAGAGAATCAAACGTTCCATACACAAAGATGATTAAAAGTATGACAAGCGTGTGTGGATTAGGAGACCGAGCTCCCCGGCTTTTAACACAATACTGACATAAAACGTAAGAATAGCAAGGTGAAGAGAGAACATAAGTATAATCGATAACAATAAATATATGTAGTCAAACGGCGCAATAATTGCTAGGGATATTATAAATATAACGAAACAAAAACAAAAAACTTCAGACTAAAGGACAAACTGAAAATACATAGTCAAAATAATCGATAAGATAAATTATGAGATATACATGTTAAATTTTAGAGAGTTTGTCTAATGCGGTAAAATAAATGTCAGGAAGGCATTCCGTGTCTGTTTGCAAATTCAAACTATTCTTTTGTCTTTTAATATGTAAGATTTCCGAAATCAGTCTATTTTGCAAATGAGGTTCGTTGTCAAGTATTGAGACTTTGTCCCAATCAAATTCATGATTAAAATTTATTCGGTGATCGGTAATAACAGAATGGTTGTTAGTGTTTCTCCGAATATGGTTTTTATGCTCAGAAATGCGAGTATGTAATTGTCGTTTCGTCTATTCTACATAGGAGGCATCGCAGTCCGTGCAGTTAATCTTGTATACAATGTTTTGCCGAGCGGATTGTGGACAAGGGTCTTTATGTACCTTAATAAATGTGTTCAACTTATTCAGACTTCGATAGAAAAGTTTAACATTTAAGTCTTTTGTGATATTCTTGAAGTTTTCTGATATTAGAGGAACAAACAGTATCGTAAAATAAGAAACAGGCTCCTCACTGTGTTTTGTATTGTTATTGGGATTACTCTTGTTGAACAAATATTTAAGGCGCTCATGCAAAACGCGGAAAATGAAATCAACAGGGTATCTATTCTCTAATAAAATCTTAATGACCAATTCAATATTATCATGGTGGAACATAGGGTGCGATAATGAGAAAACTCTGTCAATGAGACCGATTATAGTGCCTCTTTTTTGGCAAAGAGGGTGGTTTGACATAAAATGTAAATGTCTGCCAGAAAACGTCAGTTTGTGATACCAATTAAAAATCAGATGATTGTTGCTCAAGATCATAGTGATGTCTAAAAAGTTCAGTCTATTTCCCTCACCGATCTCCATAGTAAATTGCAATCGTTGGTGGAACGTATTGAAATTATTTAGAGTGTGGTTAAGGGGATTCCAAAAGGTCTGTTTTACCGATAAAAACGTTATTATGCAAAATCTTTTTGTTGATTATAGATATCAAAAAATCCTTTTCAACAATTAAAGTATACATAATAACGGAGTGCGGAGTTCAACATTTCATATGAAAAGTGAAAAAAATTATAAAATTACAGTTTTGTTATCGGCCCGTGTCGTCAACATTTACTTAATATAAAAGATTTGTAATCTGCACGTGCCTAATCAGTAAACCCCGCACTCGGCATTTCATCAAAGAGTATAAGTGAACTTAGAGAAGTGAGTTTAGAAGCTTTATAAAAAAGACAAAATAAAATTTTCGTGCATATGTGTGTGTGCGAGATGGAGGCTCAAGAGTAAAACAGAGCAGTAGATTAGTTGCGTGATGTCGCGATAGACAGAGCTGCAATCGTACATGACAAACACAGACATAATCGTACTATCTTCGTCTCTTTCATGCGTGTGAGAGTAATATACATGTACGCACTAACATTATTGCAGTATCTTTTTTCTCTCAATCATACGCTCTGTCACGCTCTGTCTCTTTCTAATCGCTCGCTCGCTATGTACTACGTATCGCTTAGCTTCATGCTCCTCGCATATTCATTTACGCGTTCACTCGCGCTTCTCTCTCTCTCTCTCTCTTTGCTTGTTCGTTATTGTATTCTTTTATTCCCATTATTATATTCTTTTATTTGCTCAACTTTTATTCTTTCTATTCACGTCTCCCTACATAAAAATAAATAAATTTATTTAATTATTTTTATTTTATACAGCATAAATGAGATATACAATACAAGTTTTCTTTTTTTATTTCACTATAGTTAATACAATACATAATTACGTTTCACTATAGTTAAATACAACATGCACATACAAAAATACACACGCACACGCACACATACATAATACTTTTTTTATTTATAAAATATACAATATCTTATTTATGCTTTATAAAATAAAGATGAATAAATTAATTTATTATCATATAGGAAAACAAGAATAGAAAGAATAAAAGTCGAACAAATAAAAGATTATAATAATGGGAATGAAAGAATACAATCAAGAACAAGCAGAGAAAGAGAGAGAGAGAGAACGAATGAGGAGCAAGCGAGATAGCTAACATGAAAGACTTCCGAAGTCTCGCTCGCCAGGCTCGCTTTATCTATAATCTCTCGCGTTATATATCGTTACTGTAAAATTTTTGTTTT